CAGTGTCGCTCATGTGTGCGTCAGATAAGGCATCTTTATCCTCAGATTCGGGGGATACCACTGTCTTCGCTTAAAGTCCTGGAGACCTGTGCAGCTTCGGCTTCACATTCGCTGTTTGCCAAATTGGCCATACACGCTTCTACAGTGGTTTGATTGCCTGCAGAAATATTTTCTGCCTCTGGCTGTTTTAGGGTCCTGGCCGTTTTCAAAGCCACCTGCTATGCTTGCTGTAGAGGGTGTATCGGTATATAAATGCGATGGAGGGCTGCCAAGCTCGGGGCCTTATCTCCTTTCCGGAGCTTCTGGCATGCATTTATGGGAGGGTCTCCGGGGCAGTGAGCCTGAATATATCCCTTTACCCCACAGATATGGCAGGTACGTTTGTCTTTGCGTCACTCAGGACAGTTATCCACAGAGTGAAGAATATTTTTACGGAAATTAATATAACCGACAGAACTTAATATCAGTTAAACTTTTTTTTTGATATTAGTACCCTCGAGTGATTGCACTCACAGGACAGGGCACACACATTCTGGTAAGATAATCCACATAACCGTACCCAGGCCACAGCACCACATCAAAAGGACAAATCTTTGCATACTTTCACTGCTCACGAATTTGACAAGAATATAATCGTGGATCTTACATTCGCTGCATGGGCTAGTGCCATCAATCCGACGACTGTCTTGTTTAACATCGAAAAAAGCATTCCTGAAAGATAAATGGATCATGTTCTATCAAACGGTGTAGGTGTGCAGATACTGCTGGAAGAAAAAACACTACCAGCGCACCTCTTTGCAAAACGTGCAGCGTCTTTGGCCATGCAATTAAAAGTCGTGAATGCCCCGCTGATCCAGATAACATTGAAGCAGAGCAGATTATTCAAGAGTGGCAGCAGATTGCACTTACAAAAGCCGAGTCCCTTTAAGAACGCCAAGTCTCTGTCGCTATGATAGTGACACCCCTACGACAAGCCATCCCAGAAATTCTAACTCCTCGCAAAGTCCAACCATCCTTATTTCACCCCTCACACTCACAATCCATTATTGTTCCATATTGGTGATGAACACTAGTGCCATGGTGACAAGAAATTTGGCTGCATAGAACAACATTGACCCATCTTCCATAGATATCGCTGTGTATGATCCGTCCGGTCGTGGACTCGATGCCAGAAAACATTTACAGGGTGCCCGAGGCTTATTCAATCACAACGATGGCATCAACTAACCGATATTTTCTGATAACAAACATAGAAAGTCTCTTCTTGAGCCCACTTTTCGGATTATCTCCCGAGGCGCAACCTTATACACTGACCTGGATAGTAACACACCTATGACTGATAAAACTGAAAAGTCTGGCCATTCAGATGAGCCAAGTTCATAAATGATTGCACAAAATCTCTGTAAAGAAACCTTAAAAGGTCGAAGTTTCCTCTCTACTATCAAAAACCCGCAATCCCAAAAACTTTTTTTAATTTGACACCTTTGAATATTCTCCCCTCCACTTTCATAACCTGCTCTTCAAGAGACTCATTTACTCCCTATACATCACTTGTATATTCACATTACATCTCAACCACAGACCAGCCTATGGACTATATATTGCGACCTCTCCTCTTTCGATTCTCTCCTTCAACTTTCACAACTCTATGTTTAGCCTGAAAACCGTGCACTCGTTGTCAAGGCTAAACACACCGATCATCACCTTGATCCTTTTGTAATTGTGGTCATTTATAGACCGAACATTTCTTCCCACCGGCGTACATTCTTCTCTTCCTTAGTACGCACTCTTTCTACTGTTATTCTTTCTTTTCCCGTCTCTCGACTTGGAGACTTTAACTGTGATCTCAGTCATTATTGCAGCCATACACCTGACTGGAAAGGATACATACAGGGTAATTGTCCAGATATCATAACTAATTCTTCTTGACTGTCGCTACCTAATTTCCACAGCTCTCGCACACGCATCGACTACATTTTCTGTCCACACAGCATTGTCCCCAAACGTCCTAACATAACAGTTATTAATCCTTCATCAACTGATCCCTGCCTCCCTGCAGTATCCATTCCTTTCTCTCGCCCATCGGGTCCTGGAGTCTGGAAATTCAACACTCAATATCTCTAATATGATGAATTTGATGCCCTCATTACTGCATTTCTGGATAAGGCTGACTTTTTCCTCTCTCATGACACGTCTATTGGTTCTCGTTGGAATAATATCAAACAGCTCATCAAACAGCCCGTCCTCACTTATTCTAAACGAGTTTAGCGTCGACTCAAGAATCAGGAACGCCATCTTCGTCGTGCTAGGAATGGATTTGAGATTTACACCTGTTCTTCTCAACTTAACATTGAAAATCTGCTCGCTAACATACAATTGTCTCGGGCATCCACCCTAGCTACCACATCTGGTGCTAAGTGGTGTGAAGCTGGTGAGACATCATCCAAATACTTTTTTAGGGTACTCAAACAGTGAGACGCCGCCAAAAGTATTTCTTCACTTGTCGATCCTGTTACTGGAGTGACTTACACTCCCTCTGCTGATTTATTTGGCCATACTCGTTCTTTCTACCAATCTCTTTACTCATCGGAACCCATCGATTATTCCGCTACACACACACTCATCGACAACTTCCCATACTCTACTCGTTTCCCTGCAGATTAATCCACTAATTTAATTGCTGATGTAACACTGGACGAAATCCTTGCTTTACTGAAAGCTACCCCCCACCAATTCAGGCCGCGGCATATATGGTTTGCCATACCCATTGTGGGCTCGGCTTTTCTCTCATACGACCATCAAAACAATTGCAGTTCAGGTTTATAACGACTCTATACGTAGTGCTTTCCTTTCCTCCTGGCTGGAAACCACACTCGTTCTCCTCCCCAAGGCAGGTGACACGACCTCCTTCCACAACTAACAATAAATCTCTTTGATAAAATGTGACGCCAAGTTGCTCACCAAAATGCTTACTTTCCATTTATGCTATGGTATTGGCCCACTTAGTATACCTTTTCAAACTGGATTTATGGCGGAGAATTTGATCGCAGACAATGACTTGCTAACACGACTCGCTATGTCGCATACCCAACTAACCAATGACTTTTGTGTTGACCCTTCTTTTGGATCAGGAGAAGGCTTATGACCGTGTCTACCCTGGCTACCTTTGTCTGGTCATGGCCAGGACCAGATTTCCCACCATGCTCGTCGACTCTGTATGCAGTATTTTTTTTTTCTCTACTCATATTTACATAAATGTGGATGGCCATATATCCTCTTCTTTTTTACTGAGCCAGGGACTACGTCAGGGTGATCCCCTTTCTCCATTACTTGTTAACTCGGCCTTCAAACCTTTGCTTAGATCCATTCTTGCTTCTCTATCAATCCGTAATTTCCAGTTTCTGATTCCGCCCTCTCTCTCATCGTCCTGTCCCTCTCTCTCACTATCTCTACTCAGATTTCTCGCCTATTCCGATGTACTTCTTGTCTTTCTCTCTTTGCCCGCCGATAATAATACTTTACTAAACCCTTTGCATACATTTGGCTTAGCATATAATACGAAAGTCAGTCTCCACAAGATGGTTACTGTTGCTATGTCTTGACAGTTCTATCCGGATTGGGGCACTGTACTAGATGTTGCTGATATCCACAGTCTCCATGACCGCCACTCCACCACTAAAATCAGTTACCTAGGCTTTTCATTGGGCTCATATATCTCCCAGATTGAAGCTTTCGGTGCTGCTTTACTGGTCCAGCTTGGTGACCGTTGCACGCTACTATCTCAAAGATGCTTGTCCGTACGTGGTAAAGGTATTGTGACGAACTCACTTTTTCTCAGCTCGGTATTTCATGTACTATATGCGACTCCTGCCCCACTATCTTTCTTTGGTGCCATTCGCACCAATATTTGCTCGTTGCTGCGCCTGGGTTTTGGTAGCTCGGGTTGGCCGTTTCTCTGTCTGCCACGCAAATATGGGGGTTTGGATCTGCTTGACTTCGATTATCAACAAAGAGCTCTTCGATTATGATGGATTCTTCCTATATTGCACTATCACTCTTTTTCGTCTCCCTCATTTCTGTTACCTTTCCTTAAATTTCTCATTTCATTACACTTTATGGCTCTTATTGCTAGTATTGCACTTCTGTTCCTTTGTAGTGCTGCAACTTTCCCGACTTCACTTCTTCCACCGCATCGCGCTAATACCTCACTTCTTTCAGCCTTACTCCCATCCAACCTACGCCTGCAACCACCGGTAGTTCAACACTTTCCTCTGGCTTTTCTATGTATGTATTTACCACCTTTTGTTGAATATTATTTGAGCCTCAAAACACTCCTTG